GTCCGGAGATAGGGATTAGCTCTATCTAGTGGGCCCAACTGTGTAGGAACCTGAAGACGGAGATAGAGTCCCATCTCCGAAACGTCGTTTTTACGTTTTATATTTACTAGACGATGGATAATATCCAAGGAAATTTTTATTCAATCAATTACGTAGTTCTGCTTCATGTCCAAATAAATTATCTAAAGATTAATTCTACGTAATAAATAAAAATAATTATATTAACGCTATTTACGTGCCTGTAAACCACAGAAGGTGCACTCGTTTCGTGCATTCTAAACCTCGCCAAGAAAATTAGTATCCATCCGCGACCTTTCAAACACCTTTGTCTCATTTATCTCGTTGTGTTAATAGTAGAATTTCCTCTGTACTCATTATAACCTGAGGAATGTGTGTAAAGTAGTCGTGATAAAGATAAAAGGTAAATTAGACTCGGGGCCTAAGAGTTATGATGTGAAAAACTCCTCGTATTTTAGACATCATCATCATGATTAGTGGTAGGCTTCAAGCTGCAGCCATTTCAATCTGTGGAAGAAGTCTTCGATAGCCTTTGATTAAGAGGCTGGGCAACTCCCAGAGCTAGTCTGCACGCTGTGTGAAGAGAGAATTGTGCTCCTGCCAGGAATCAAAATCGTGGGAGGCATTAATCTGAACGCCCCTGTCGTGAATCGATATGGTGGTAGACATGTTTTATGACCAGTGCAGCCATTGTTCCCTTGGGTTATCTGTGGATCAGTTCAGTATCATGGTTATTCATGTTTTATGGATGTTTGTTTGTTCGTAACTGATGACACAAACAATGTCAAATCACTGATCAGTAAATTTTGCTGACGTGGGGGTAATAAAACCCAAATACCATCTTCCACGCTGGAGGATTTCTGTCGAAAACATGATTTCGTATGAGGAAATAGCTCGCAAGAAGGAGCTTCTGTCTTTGAAGAATTTGCTAAAAGCCTCTTTAACAGCTTCAGAACAGAGTTTACGAGGTCTGTCAATACCTTTCCTTCTCCGTCTTTAGTAATTCGAAATAAATTTTGATAATTTCATCTTCTGACATTAACATATAAATTACTGCTTGTAAATATGAGCATGTGTTTATTTCAATATTTAATTCATTAATATTGCTATGTCTGGGTTTCACGATAATTCTTATATCGTATGTTAAAACCTTTTTGTCCTAGTGTAGTAATTTATTTCGGTCTTCATTATATGTAGCTTTCCTTATCGAAATGGTTGAACGGTCTCTGTGTCGTCCAATTTTTATATCTCCTCTGACGGACCACAAATACATCTTCGTACAAAAGGCCAGTCACAAAATTTTAAGGGATTTTAATCGGATCAAATGTGAGTTTTTTTTCCAGGAAACTCTACATAAATAAGCCTATAGCGTTTTGTTTTCAGATTTCTTGAATGAGGAGACAATATTGATATTCTGTTATTTACCTCTTTTAAATTATTATTTATGTTGTTATTAATGACAAAAATACGTCCAGTACAACCTGCTACGAATTTAAATTCGAACACGGGACCTCTCGGATACGAATCAGAAGTTCAGATAGCTAAAAGTATCAAATTATAAATTCCCTAGAGGAGTGTTCTGATTAATCGTGCAAGTTAATTTGTTCAATAGGTGGCATAAATTTTCAGTTCCCCGCGCTGTCTGCCATCAGAAAACCACACAACCAATTTGCGAGTTTTGAAAACGAAAGCTCTGATGTTTTGTCTTCAAGATGTCTTACAGCGTTACAGTGGAGGAAATTTCTGCATATAACAGATGTTTCTCCTTTCAAGGTAAACAAGGCAACCACACTTTCGAGTCTGTCAGGCTTTATTGACATGTAAAGGAATTTATAGCAAAACTTACTTAAGTTTTCACATGAGTTTTAAAAGTTGTCGAAGGTAATCTGCCGTTACTTTAAACTGTCACCAAAATATATACATTTATGTTGTGAACACTTTTCGGATTACGTACATTGAAAAACACAAATTTGAGCTGTTCGCCAAATATGATCAGGCTAAACAAATCAAGTACAGTGCGAGTGACTGAACATGTAGCAGGCATGTGATACTGGAAAATGCACAGATTTTTAGTCGTAAAACCTAAATGAAAGAGAGAACTTTGGAGACCTAGGCACAGATGCGAATACGACCGATGTTAAATAAGTACGATAGACTGAAATCGTTTGGGTTCAGACTTGGTTCAGAGCCCCTGTGAGCACGGCAAGGAACTATCAGCTTCTTAATAAGGACTCTGCTCCCTTGGCGTTGGTGTGGTTTCTGAGCCGCGAGCTGGTAAATCCTGTTGTTGATTTGTTGTTTTTCACAACATGCAGTGAAAATCTGTGGCTTCCCTGCTTAGCCGCCATCAGTAGGTGGCGACGTCCATCACTTCGCGTGCAGATAATGCACATTCGTGTGCTGCGGGCTTGACGACCCAGCCCCTGCCGGAAGGTCGTATACGTGACTGTCTACTCGTCAAAATCCCTTTGAACAGAGAAACATAAGTCGATAATGGAAACAAAGGGAGTATCTTAAGGTCGACTATGGACCGTGCTTTAAACTCTACTTGGGAGGAAACGCTTTCATTAGGCTTCACTACAATGTAAATAGGCCTAATGAATCAATTCCACGTGAGGATTTTTTTCTTCAAGTAATGTGTGAAACATCAACAGGGCAAGAAACTCCAAGAGACGAAGATGACTTTAAAGCGATGACAATTTACTCACTTTCGTGTGAGAGTGAAATTTGGGTTGAGAAGAACCAGATGCTGTTAGGCCTAAAACTCAAGCAGTTAAAATTAAATTTAAGGAATGTCGAGGAATAAGACAGAATTAAACACGTACGTACACGGAGCGGACTAAATAGAGCCTACATTAAGTAAACAGAAGAATAAGCGATTACACACAAAAGTGGTTCACCCCTTTGAACCTTCACTTCTTAACAAAGCAATGAGAGGCCATTAAAAGGATTTTTTGAGACTAAGACGTTGATTTCATCTGTCACTTTCCATACACGTGACCACTTGGGTTTTACCATTCATTGGATGACGCAAGGTTAGGCATTTGTTTTTGTATAGTCTGTTAAATTCATTTGTTTTAATCAGTATTTCCATGAACTTGGTCCGATAAAATAATCCACTACGACTTTGTTCCACATTAATCAATTCCTCGATCACATGTCTTTTCATCCTATAACATTTGTCTCGTTCCACATTATCAGTGCAGTTGATGTCGTATTCTGAAATAAACAAAAAAATCCTCCATCCTCCATGAAGCACGATTACCCTAGGAACTGATTTGCAGAATTGTGTACTCCCCACCCTGAAACCCGTATAATCACCCTGATGAAACATGCTTAGGGTTAAAGAGTTCAGAGATACGTACATTCTTCGCTAAATCTGACTCGCCTATTTGCTTCGTGTGTTGCAGGAAATCAGCGGATCATTTCGTCTTTTGTCACAGAATGCGGGTCGCACACAAAATGTGTCTGGGGATCCCCCGGTGGGCTCGGGAACAAAACCTTCCGTGATGGCGCGCCAGTCCGACTCGAGTGTCGAGGAAGTAGCCAGCATAGACGAGTCTGATGTGGTCCCCACACCAGGTCGGTTAAGAACCTCAGGCATCGTCATGATAGCCCAATGTCTACGTTGGCCCATGTGTTCGTTTTATGGCGGGCTTCGACAGTAGCGATTTTGAAAATTTCTTATTCTGTTGCCATATTATTATGCATTTCACAGCCAGATACACCACTAGAAGCCATACATTTGTTGAGATGACGCGAATATAAATAAACATACGGGTGATTCACTGATTCTCATAGAAATGTACAGTACAATTTAATTACCTTGAGGAATTTAACATTAAAGGTCCTTCTCGAAATCCTCGTGGTATGACATACGAGGTGCGATCGGAAAGTTTCGAGACTGCGCCTATAAAAACCCGTACACTTATCTCAGGTATTAAATTCATCCATAACCCTCGAAGTAGTTCCCCTGGGAGTGAACACAACGATCCCAGCGCCGCTGCCAAGCCTGGAAGCATCCCTGGAAATTTTTCTTTGTCAGCCTGTCTTCGTAACATTTTCGGGCGTTGTGCTAGAAAATGGTCGTCCAGAACGCTCGTCATCATCGACAGAGGTTCGGCCATTTTTAAAACGTGAATGCCACACAAAAGTTTGTGCACGACCCATTGCGGACTCCCCAAATGCTGGCTTTAGCATTTCATAGGTTTCCGTAGCCGTTTTGGCAAAATTTGATGCACTCATGAAAATCTGCCATTCCGAAATCGCAGGAGGGTCGGTGTAATGCACTACCAAAACGCCCGTAACTAAGAAACAAATACTAATTCGATGATGCCGGCTGGCACACTGATTCACTATGAATGTAGGCCGCACCCCCTAGCGGCAGAAGCTCGTACTACATCCGGTTCGCCCTCTATTGACACAGTCTGTAAACTTTCTGATCGCACCTCGTATGTTTCAAGCATGAATAATTTTAAGGCAGGGCGCAAAGGATTGACGAATACTCAGTGATAAATCGTGTGTGTGTAATTTTGTTAACAAATACAGCGCTGTTTTATTATTCCCTTTGTGCTGTTTTTGTTATCAGGCATTAGAAACCATTTTGACTGTTTGTTTTGTTACCAACAGCAATGGAACGGAGGAAGAACTATGCGAGGAGGAGAACGGAAGGAACAGGTTAGTATTTCAATGTGCACTGACTCGAAAATTACATATACAATTATTTTAGACACAATAAGATTTATAGATGGGCCTTAAGTGATGTCAGATAACGCATAGAGTAGGTTATGGAGCGGTAACGTTCCAGACTTTTAATCTGCAGGTTTGACTGGGGAGAGAGACGAAAGTGGTTCACCTCGAGGAATGTGGTGGTGGTTAAGAGGAAGATTTTCGACCGTACCAGGAATCGAACCTCAATTCTCCAGCCTTATTTAAGCACGTTGCTGAATGTTGTTTAAATGTCTGCGTCATTTGCAATGTTTCGATACATTTTATACGTCTCTTCGGAGGGCGTCTTCGATGTCTTTCTTTCTTCAAGTTTGTAGTTTATTATTCTCTGTATAATTTGCCATGTTGCCATTCTTATCACGTATTCTATGTTATTTTTTTTATTAAAGCCTCAAAAATTAATATAATACCACATAATATCTGCTACTGAATATAATTCCGATCTTTTTGTCATTCTACATAATGCACGACCCTTTGTATCCAAGAATCCTTCGCGTCCTCACATGGTACTGAGGCACAGGGACTATATGACTTGTATCGAAATTTGTAAGCCTGTTCTCAAAATCAAACTTCAACCTTCAGGCCCCTGTTTGGTGCATTCGACTTGCTATTTCCAAACTTCAAAACAAAACAAAACTGTCTATGAAAAACGTAAGAATGTTTTACTTTACCCCGATGCAGTACTGGACTGTACGTTGTTAAAGAACATGGGCTTTTTCCTAAATCAAAATTTCGATTAGTTATCGTGTTGGAATTTTCGACAAGCTGGCTGTTAAATGTAGGTCTATTGTAGAACAGTGACTTAAAATGCTTTGAACTTCGTGCCAGATTTCACGAATTTTGGTCAGTTATTTCAACACTTATTGCGAGATAAGTCTCACACACACACGCAATCAGTTTGCTCTGTGACGTAATTTAATATCCTGGCTGAAAGAACAAGAAACTGCAATCTCGATGCAGTAGTCTCGTTAAACCAGACTGAACGGAAAAGACGAATGTAAATATTAACTCAACTTATTAAATTGTGTAGAAAATACAATACAGCATCAAATGAAAAAATCTTGCAAGTAAGAACAGTGTGTTACATAATGTAAATTTATAAACGAAAAATTATATATTTTTTTAAGAAATTAGTAACGGGCTTTTGCTTCTGAGCCTACTTCGTTTTCTTTGCGGGCGAAGTCCCTCCTACGCCTGACGTTCAACGTAAGCTATAGGACGGCCTCCACAGAAATCAATCCGTCTCTAAGGCATTCTATAACAACTTCCTCTTATCCTTCGTTATCGCCTTCTAAACTTTCGTCGCCAGCATAATTCACAAGAACTTCTACGTCATTATCAGTCTTATCTTTGTATGTCGTCGTCATTCATATTTTTACAGCCTGACTTAAATTTTAATTAAGGAAGAAGATTTTCGCAATTTTCTTCCGCTGTTAATTCTCTCGGTTTATCTCTTTGTAACGTGTGCCACAAAAAGTTTCGTTTACCTTTCCTTTAACATTTCTTCATACACTTTCATTTTCCTTTCTTTCATGCCTTCATTTGAAGCTCGAGAAGAACACCACTTTTGAATTTTTTATATGTGTTTGTTGTTGATGAAATGGGGCCTTCCGACACGGCATCGGATATCCGATAACCGGGTCTCTACTGTATTTATTTTGTGGATTCTTTGATGACGGCATTGAAGGGCTTCGTGGCACGGAAAGTCTCGATCAATTGGATAAATTGCAGTTATAGGAGGTCACTGTATCCTGAAGTACGTAGTAGTGACATTGCACATTTAACTCGACGGACATGTTTTTGTCAGAAACAGGAAGTGACGACAGCAGTTTTCTCCGACACCTGGAACTGGAACCTTCTGGAGACTCAGGTCCAGGACGAGGTTTAGGGTCAGCCGTGGGACCCGGGATCGGTAACAAGGGAGGACGCACTCCTTTCACGACGACAAGACGCCTAACCCGACATGGGAACGCAGGGTTCGGTTTCTCAATCGCGTGGACCCAGCCTCCAAGGTACATGCTTCAACATGCAGATGCTTTGAAATGCATACGACTGTAAACAGCAATTACGACCGAACACACAACTCTCGTTTTTAAATAATGTTTTGAAAATTACGCAACGTATAGAAAGAATGGTCTAGCGGTTAGAACGCTGGACTTGTAATCCTGGGGTCCCGGGTTCGATTCCCGGTGGTGCCCAAATTTATAACTTGTGTTGGGCAAGGCCGTGGTCTAGGCAACACGGAGTTTTCCTCCGGGGGCTTCTTCCCCGGTTTCTCCGTGGCATCCCAACAATTACTCCATTCACACACAGAAGAAGGCAATGGCAAACCACTTCTGGATCATCTGCCAAGAACGTATATGAACAGGTCCCAGTCCGAGAAAAGGAAGGAAGGATCCTGTTCATATGGACCTAGCGTCAGACAGAACACTAAATAATAAAAATTAAATAAACGCACAGCGGGAAGGTCGTGTCTCGGAAGATACTCGACGGATTTATATTAAATTTCGTATTGGCGTGTATACAACGAGAGTTGTTTGAATCGAAGTTTGGTCTGTGTCGGTCCATTATGACCTCGGCTGTACCACCACTTTATTTAGCACCTGTGAATTGTGGGACGGGAGGGTGTTAAACTTTTTAATCTGTGCCCGCACTACACGCGTGTCGGAGAAGTTTCCGCCATGTCAGGGGCTATTGAGCGCAGTGACTATGGCTACAATTTGATTTTTCAAAAAGTTTATGAACATCTGACAACATTTCACAGAGAAGTGATGACAGAAACAGTCAATTACATACCTTGATCCAACAGATGGTACATGCTCAGTTTCAGATGAAGAAGGCTGCCTTCAGATATAGAGGGTAGACGCAAATATATTTAATAAGTAATGGCAATCAGGCAATAGGGAGTTAATACCCCAGATTGGTTTCTTGGGGAATCTAAAGGATAACTAACCTTAAAAAATCTGATATTACGAAACAGCACACAGGACCTCAAACAGAAAAAAATAAAATATTTGTATGCATTTTCTACAAATAATATCGTTTTGCACTTTATCACTAATTATCCCAGTTTACAGACTGAATTTGAAGTGAGCAATATAATAATTCTTAATTGAAATGTGTGTCTGACAAAAAAAATAGTTCGTCGTACAAGAAATTCAGACACGATATAAAACTCAAATCTTTAGATTTAAAACATTTTTTCAGTATAGTGAATATTAAAAGAATTAAATGGAAAAAATATTTTGACTGTGACTTGCTTATCTTTAGCACAATTAAATTTTCAGAAATGCCTTTGTACTTACAATAAGTGAACATCAAGTCATATAATTTATGCAGATTATATATTCTGTATTTATAAGGTGTGCATGCGTATTTATACTCTAGTCACCATCTCTGTTGTCATTATCATCGTCATGAACAGAGTAACACGTGGAAGATTGATGAAGATTGGCAGAGTCTCTGCTCAGAGAGCAACGCTCTCCGAGTAGCTTGAATAATACAGTGAGCAGAGAGGTTTGTTGTGTTGCGTTGTAGAGTGGAGCGTGTGGAGGCGGGTATGCCTGCTGACAGGTCTGGACTAAGACCTGGTGACTACGTCATCTTCGTGGAGAGGCACAACGTGGTCACAATGCCGGAGGAAGATATCCTTCGCCTCATCCGGTCGTGTGGAAACCAGCTCACCCTGGAAGTGTATCGTCGGGTCAGTCCTAATGGCCTAGTTGGGAGCTCAAACCTCAGCAGTAGTACCACGACGGTGCCACTCCCCGCTCCGCCTCGCTCCTCTACCACAACCTCACTGGACCTCAGCAAGAGGAGACTCCACCTTCCTCAGGTCACGTTCAGCAGCGAGGTCGGTACTGGAGTCATCGTGTGAAGGGGGGAGGGGGTGACAGGTTTTCATTCCGTAATTTCGCGTATCACAAATTAAGGTACTTGTGGGTTATCGGGACACATTGCTTTAAAAATAGGTTAGGTTAGGTTAGGTTAGGTTAATGTGTGTGGATAAATGACATACTTGAAAGTTATTATATTTTATTTCAATAAATGATAACTAACCTAACCTAAACTAACCTAACCTAACCCTACTTAACCTAACCAGCGCTAAACTAACCTAAACTAACCTAACCCAACCCTAACCTAACCCTAACCAACCGTAACCTAACCTAAACTAAACTAACCTAACTTATTTTTAAAGCGATGTGTCCCGATAACCCACAAGTACACAAACTAATATTCTATTAACCATTTCCATGCTACAAACGAGGAACTGGTGATTACAGGAAGAAACACCAGCAAACAATGTCACGGCAAATTGTTGCTTTAAAGGAGTTTATTGTTGACAAAAATGCAATGAAAACAAAGTTTGATGTAACGTGAATATATACAGTGAAGGAATTTTTGCTACGTAAAATTTAAGCATGGAAATGGTTAAGTTCTGTTAGGTACATAACTAAAATTATGTCCTTATTTTCATGTTTTCAGTGCTTTAAGTCAGAGTATGAAGTTGGCCAGTCAGCTCCATCTAATGCTGAGAACGTGTTATGTCTTAATACCACAGTCTGCCCCTGTCTGCAATAATAATCAATTTTAGATGAGTGTTAGGATTTAGACACAAATTGCTGATCTTTTTGTTGTTAGTAAATTACAAAATTTACGAATTAGTTCCAGTCTGTCTCTAGTTATATATCGTTTTCGCTGTTAAGTGAAGCGTAAGGCCTCTATGAAAGTGCGTCATTTGGATCTCTCCTGAACCAGCAGATTAATTTCCCTCCATGTTTTGCCGATACTTTCAACTTTCCTTTGTATCGATCTTTCCACGTTTCTTGGGGTCAGCCTCTAAAAACTAAATAAATAAATAATTATCTGTTGCAGTTTTTGTCGTCTGTTTTGGCAGATTCATGACTGAAACATCGCCTGTGATATGTTCTCTTTAAAGATGGCTTGTCTTCTGGGTTGTTGCGCCGTGTAGTCTGGTAGAAGTTTACCGACATTTAAGAGGTCCTTGCTACCTCCATCATCAGGGCGATGATCGCCCTGATGATGGAGACACAGTAAGGACTCCTGACACGTCGGTAAACTTCTACCAGACTACACGGCGCAACAACCCAGAAGACAAGCCATCTTCAAAAGTCTAAAATTTTGTCTGTGGTTTTTACCAAAAAATTATTTTATATCGAAAAGAACATTTCGAAATAAGGGCTGTTCGATATCACTGAAGAGTTAAAATGTACTGTAACAAAACATTACGTAAATGGGCACAGTCTGGCAGACGAAAGGTTGGGAATATTTAACAGTCCTGTGAAGTGTTAAATTTTGAGGGATTATTGATTTCTGCCCGGATTCCTTACAGTAAATATTTTTTTTTCTCTCGCAGACCCAGCACACCTTGTGGAAGGTGAGAAGCATTGAAATTTATGTTTTTGATGCATAATAAAAACAGCTGGCTAGTAAGTTTTGTACTTAAGATTAGTTATCCTTTGAGGCTCCTAGCACATTTTGCGTAAAGCGGACTATCCACGTACGAGTCTGGCTCGGGTTCCATCGAGCCAAACTTGTTTGTGGGTGGGGTGTCACGAGCCGAGTCTGCTATGCAAGTGTGGTGAAATATATCCGAGCCCGGCTCACGAGTCAAGCTCGCCGAGCCAGACTCGTACGTGGTTGGGCCTCTTAAGATTTAATGTTATTATGTCTTGAGTCTGAGGTAAATATTGATGCATTACGCACATCATACAAGACAGAGATGAATGGTCAGCTTCATACTCTGTTCACTTTACGGATTCCCAAACCTGTGATACAAGTTGACCTACAGAAGCCTTATAAAGGTGACATTTTTCTTAGAAACAGTGGTTTCGGTAATGGAATAGGTTGGAGAAGGGATTGAACTGAATAAAACGTTGTTCAGCGTGATTTCTGTCAAGACAGTCACATCGTGGTTTAAAAATGTTTCTGCATTTCGCGTTTACAAAAAAAATGTTTTAAAGTGTGCGTGTTAACTTTGCCGTATCTGTCTGTCTGCCTATCCCACCCATTAGAATGTGTAATAAGTGTAAAATTACTCGACAAATTTCCAAAAAAAAAAAAAAATTGCATTGAAAGCCTTTGCTAAAGTATGTTAAGAAATTTCAGTCTTGGTTAAAAACAACGACAATTGGGGCACAGTACATAATGACCTACGTGAAGAAGTGACCTTGAAACCACGCCCAGCCCACAGTTGATTCACACCCAGAAAGGATTTGTAAAAAGTTTTAGTTTAATGTGAACGACATTTCGGTAGTTATTTTTAATTCCATCTTCAGGATACCGAGTACGTATGTGTTCTTCAGTCCAGTAGAAGTTTCCATTATCCGTCAGGTCTAGACGTATGATTCTTATTACGAAACAGAACTTAACCATTAAAGACGGCTGCCCCATTGATCTAGTAGGTCACAAACCAGATTAGTATTTAAATGTTTTGACTGTTACAGACATCGAAACTGAGATAAATTTGTGCAGAGCGAACCATTTTAAACGCAACCCAACAACAAATATGAAATCAGAAACACGTCCACCCCCGTGTAATAAACTTACCCAACCTCCCTCGTGACACTGCAGTCACTCACACCATTTACCCTAAATTTTTGCAGATGCGAACGTGTCGTATTTACGAACACAACGTGTGTTCAATCTCGAACATCACTTCGCTGTTCGTATAGAATTTATAAATGGATATCCTTACATGGGCGTGTATACTAAAGCATTACACTGACTGATAACGAAATTTCGGGATGAATTAAATGTTTGCCTGTGACAAATGCTCATCGACGGAAGAGAAACTTCAGAAATTACTGCCGAGACGACTTTGAATCTGTGCATCAGCTGCAATAACGGGATACTGCGGTAAGAATTCAGTGGTCATTGGTTTTGTTTTGAGTACGAATGTGTTCATGTTTAGTGTTTAGGGCTGCATTTTAAATTAAACACGACTTTCAATGACAAAACCTTAACCGAAGCCAGAAGTTAAGTCGTCCAGTTTAATGCAGTGTTTTTTCTAAAAAAACAGGTTGTCCCAATAAGAAATAGCAACAACTTGGTGAAAACCGTCGTCAAATGTGCCATGGTGGCCATTTTGAACACCTCCAATAGATACGCCAATTCACTTATTGCAAGTACTGACTTATGTAGTGGTTTAGTTTGTTAAAATGTCTTGATTTCATTCTTTAAATGTGTTTATACATCTTTTTTAGGGTAGGGAACACAAACGGATGATAAAATTACGATTCAATGAACCAGTCATTGTTAAAAATCTTTCACGTTTATTGAAAAACATAGAATATACAGAGCTGATTGCAGTTGATTTGTTTCAAATATTTTAGATTGGCAGTTGGAGAGGCAGTGTCGGACACTGCCGCAGTTATTTTCGTGAAAACGTCAATCGGTTATAGTATATTGAAATTAAACAAAAATTTTGTTTTGAATCGTTTAATTCATTGCACTCTCCATCTCATCAGCAACGAAATCCACATCCATACTTGGCCCAGGCTCGTCAGATGCCGCCTGAGTTGTCCGAGCGCGCTTACGTTGCCTATATTCGCGGCAGTACTGCGCGTTGGTTTTGGGTCCGGGCACGGCGTTTTCCGTGTCATTCTCTTTGGAATTTTGTGATCTACGCATTCGTGCCCGATTTTTGTAATTCTAGTTTTACTTTGCCCTCATATATCGCGACATTGTAAGAAAATCGGGAAATTTTCAAACTTTTTCAAATTCACAGCCTCGTATCTTTTTGAGTTTTTGAGATACACACTTGGAGGTCAGGATGAGTTGTAACATATACACTCCTCTTCAAAACAACACTTGGTTCGCTCGGATCGGATAATTAGTCTCTGAGATATGATCCCGTTTATGGACACGTGTCGAATCCGGAAAGTCGAAAATCGTGGCTTCACTTTAAAATGACTCTTGTGTGACCGAATGTCGTTGTCGAAAATCCCTTGCTTCATCTCGGTCCAGCGATTGGTAATCATAAGTTTCTTCGTGCTTTTCTTCAGCGCCTCCAAGCGCATTCTGAGATATTACCATAAGTAAGACCACGACTGATTACATCCACTCCTTTCGAATTCTCTCGTCACTGATCGTTCTGTCATTGGACTACTTTTTTCACATCTGACAGCTCCGATGAATAAACGTAAAAAAAAACAAGATACTTTCATTGCAAGATAAAACACTGAAGTTGAGGGCGGAGATGCGTTCTTAAGAAGCAGTCGACGTGATAAATGAAATGATGAGATGTGCATCTTAATGCATTTCTTTGCGAAAGTGTGACGTATACTTAAAAATACACCTTATCTCTGAATACATTGGGGACCCCACGGTTTGACCTTGTTTCGAGTTGCCCTTTCTGGGCAGGTCGATAATGGGGTCATCATTGTCAGCTGTCCCAGTAGCTCACAG